AAGGACCGTGAGTGGAGAGCCGGGAGAGTGGACGTGTGACCCGCCCAGGAGACACTGCAGGAACCTCTGAAATGCCGCGTTGGGTGGGGCGACACTGTGGCCCTTGGTCCTTGGTCTGAAGGGAAGGGCAGCTGTGGAGGAGTGGGAGCAGAGCGGCAGGCAGGTGGGAAAATCTGGGCCATTCGGACCCGAGGAAGGAAGGCTGGCCGCGAGCAGAAGGGACGGGAGGGCGGTGCCGGCCCGGCTTGCAGAACGCCAGGATATTGTTGATTCACTAGTCAAGTGTCGTGTTGTCACTCTGTCACTGTCTCAAGTGGAGGCTCCCTCTCACTTGTCCTTTGTCCTCAGAGAACAAAGCGGCTTTGAGTTTCACGAGTGGCCCAGGGGGACTTCTGAGAGCTGAGCTGGGCCGGGTTTCAGACTGCGGCAGGCTGCAGGCGAAAGCCCACTTCGCGCCCGGCTCGCTCCCCGGAGCAGTGGGGCTTCGGTTGTCAGGGGACTATTAGGCCACCCCCGTGTGCCAACCTCGTTCCAGCGGCGAAGTTGGCACGGGGTGGGGGGGTTGGAGAGACTGACACATACGAGCCCCTGACACGAGGCCAACTCGCCCCTGACAGTTTTATCCTGACTTCAGTTTCTGCGTATGCAGGACTGTCTTTCTTTCCCTCTGGCTGTCACGATTCCCACTGACTCCCCAGCCCCCGCTGAGCGCCTGGACGACGGGCGGTGGGTGAGGCAGCTGGCCAGGGCACTCGCTTTCTGTTTCCCCTCCTCTGGCCCAGATTTGGAGCCGAAGGAGCTGACCGCGGAGTGATGCCAAGGGGAAGTAGCAGGACGGCCAACAAAAGCCTCTCGAGCAAGACCAGGAAAGGGGCAGCGGGCCGCTGACCACTCCCCCGGCCAAGAATCCACAGCGACATGGTAGCCCCAGTGCCCACCCACCTCCGCACACACCAACCAAGGGGCAGAGAAACTGACCTCCTGCTCCCCTGTAACCCCGGGTCCCGTCAGCAGCGCCCCTCACAAGGGGCGGGGGGGGGCACCAGCACTGGTCAGGCAAAGCTGATTTCCCTGACCCCCAGGCAGTGGACGGGCCCCTGCGGCCTTGGTATCAATAAGGACCACAACGGGACGTGCGTCCAACTCCCACCCACGGCAACTAGCGCCCCCTCCCTGCTGGCTGGTGACTAGAGATGGCAGGACACTGGCTCACCCAGGCAGCAGTGACAGGGTCACCTTTGCCACATTTCAGGGGGTCATGTGCAGACAGGAGTGCGCCATGTACAGACCCAGGGCAAACGGGAAGGGCAGAGATGAGAACAGTACGCGGGTCCACTCACCTCTCAAACTGTGGTGGTCCCTTTGGTCAGGACATTGGCCTTGCACGTAGCCAACCCCGTTTCCCTCCCTGGCACCTCGTATGGTCCCCAAGCACTGCCAGGAATGACCCCTGAGCACAGGGCCCGGAGTCAGCCCGGAGCACCGCTAGATGCGGCTCAAGCACCAGAACGAAACACCTTTGTGCCTTCGTACTGATCTGTATCCCCAGAGACTGCGGCAAGCACCCAGGCCTGATTCGTGTGGGAAGAAAACAAACACTTGGATGTTTTCCACAGACTTCCTGAAGAGAGAGCGTGTTCCGCCCTCCCCAAAGACCCCAACAGCTCCAAGCACCCTGTGAAATGGCTTCCAGGAGAGAGCGGGGAGCTGGTGCAAGTTCTGGCACTTCACTCGGTCCCAAACTAGCCTGGAGTCGTCCCCGAGCCCAGAGCCAGGAGGCAGGAAGCCCCAAGCTGAGCCGAGTAGCCTGAAACACTTAACAAGACAAAAATAAAAATCGAACAGGGGGGACCAGAGCGATAACACAGCAGGGAGCACGTTTGCCTTGCACGCGGCTGACCCGGGTTCGATCCCCAGCATCCCATATGGTCCCCCGAGCACCGCCAGGAGTAATTCCTGAGTGCATGAACCAGAAGCAATCCCTGTGCCTCGCTGGGTGTGACCCAAAAAGCAAAAACAAAACAAAACAAAACAAAAACAAAAACAAAAAACAACCCCAACTGAACAGGCTGGGGTGGGTGTCTTCATGTGCACTCAATCCAGTGACGATTTTCTCACCCACCGCCCATGCAGACAGGAGGGGGTGCAGGCCAGTGTGCTGGAAGAGACAAAGAGGACGGGGGTCTCCCCAGAGACTCCCGGCTTTCAGCTCTCAAGCTTGCTGCGTTTGGAGGCTGTGATCAGTCAAACATGCGGGCAACTCTCCAATCGCTCAGCGGCTGGAGAACGAGTCGGGATGAAGAACAGCAGGGAAGACACTTGGGCGGGGGGCCGGGCTGTCCGTGGAGTCTGTGGAAAAAGAAAGTTTCTGCACCGGAGACTCGGCCCAAGGCCCGGTCAAGTAGAATTAAAGGCATCTACGCCTCTCGTTCCGATCACGCCCAAATATAGCAGTCACTAGGGTGTGTGTGGAGGAAGAAAACATTGAGGACTAGACACACGACACCTGTGTGCAGGCCCACTTCGAGGTATCTTTTTTTTTTTTATTCTTTTGGGGTCACACCCAGCGATGCACAGGGGTTACTCCTGGCTCTGCACTCAGGAGTCACTCCTGGCAGTGCTCAGGGGACCATATGGGATGCTGGGAATCGAACCCGGGTCAGTCACATGCAAGGCAAACGCCCTACCCACTGTGCTATTGCTCCAGCCCCCGAGGTATCTTTTATTTGGGGGACACTCCTCGTGGGGAGAGGCAGCCAGGCCCCACTGCAGGTGCTGGGTCACACCCGCGCTCGCTCCAGCTCTTCCAGTGGTTGTTCGTTTTGGGTCACACCCGGCGATGCCCAGGCCTTACTCCTGGCTCTGAGCTCAGGAATCACACCTGGTGGTGCTCGGCGGGGGATTGAACCGGGGTTGGCCTTGGGCTCCTTGGGGCCACCTGTATTTCTTTCCCAATTTCAGGCCATTCTTGAAAGCCCAACGCCCAAATGGGCCTCCAGTCTCCCTTTCCCTTCCTCGAGGTCCCACACTTGGTGCTTCCCGGCAGCCCAGAAGCTTCTGGAAGGCTGCAGACACTGCCTGGCCTCAGCGCCCCTCTGGGATACCCTTCCATACACACCCACTGAGCAGCCCCTCCCCTCCGCCCCCTCCCCTGGTCAGCACAGGCCCCTGTCGCTAGAAGGTGGTGAGCGGAGGAAGAGCTCGAAGGGGCGAGGGCAGGAGAGAGCAGCGCCCACCGTCGTCCAGCTGCTCGTCCACCCCAGGCGGGCTGTGCAGGGCCAAGCTGGCCACACAGAGGACACCAGGCAACGGGGAGGTGCTCAGGCACTCAGACGCCGGGTGCGGGCTGCTTGGCATTGGCGGGACCCACTTACACCCCCCATCCAGGAGCAGCCGCGGGGTGTGGCCCGCCATCAGCACCACCCTGCCCCATCGCTGGACTCACTCGTGCTCCACCAGGTTGCGGCAGTGACTGGGGCTTTGTCCATTCCACAGAAGGGGCGACTGAGGCCAGAAAGACCCGGGGGTGTGCTGAGGCTCTGCGGACCAAGAGACTGAGGGGATTTGGACCCTGGCACTCCAGCATGCCCGGAACCCCGTCTCTGAGGATCTGCTCGGAGAGGCCGGCCCCCGTCTCCTCCCTCTCCCTCCCCCAATTTCTCCCCACTCTGGCCTCTCCTCTTTTTTTGGGCCATACCCGGCGATACTCAGGGGTTACTCCTGGCTCTGCACTTGGGAATTACTCCTGGTGGTTCTCAGGGGACAATATGGGATGCCAGGGATCATCAAACATGCAAGGCAAACACCCTCCCCGCTGGTCTCTCCTTTCTATATTCTGAGTAAACCTTCAGCTCAAGGCCCTCGGACCCAGGGGCTGAACCAGCTGCTGCCCGCTTTGACTGGGACCCACTCACCAACTCACTAAGATCCCACCCCCGACAACTCGGTCTGTGGCCCAGTGAACCCCAGGAGTAAATGTCCCAGCCGTTCTACTCGGCCACGGGCAAGAGCTCTTCCCGCCAGAAGCAACGGTTAGGACCCAGCCCCGGCTTGGGACCACCCGTGAGCAGACGAACACGGAAGCACTGCACCTCGGGCTCCACCCCCCCCCCCGCCCCTGGGGCCCTGGACACCACAGGGGGGTCCCTGAGGGCCCACAGGGCCGCCGGGCCTGGGCAGCACCAAGCTGAGCACTGCTGGGGAGATGCCCGCCCCCAAAACAAAGGGAGACCGACTTCCGGTCACTTCCCCAGTCTCAGAACGGCCCCTCACCCAACAACGCCTCCCTGGCCTCAGGCTCTAAGTTTCACTTGCCCAAAAACCCTCTTAATGATGTAAGCTGCGGCGAATTCCCAGCTGGGGGGAAACCACGCAGAGGCTGCAGAGCCGGGGCCACCGACAGGCCCTGGCCGGGAGAGGGAGTGGGGGTCCCGTTGTGGGGAGCCAGAGCCCCAGACTGCTGAGCACCAAGTCTGGGTTGGGGGGGAGGTGCACCTGGCCAGGCTTGGGCAGTGGCGGCCAGAAGCTGGGACCCCCGCACAGAGCCCGGGCTGGAGCCTGCAGCTGGCCGCTGGCGGGGTCCCGGGGGAGCAGGCTAGGTTTGGAGAGCTGGCATGAGGCTGGCCACCATCACCAGCACAGGTCGTGTGCCCGCCACAGTGCCAGGGCCGTTGGGAGTAGGCAGCGGGACACAAAAGGGAGGAAGTTCCGGGTTGGCCAGACCCAACTAGAGCCGTGCCAGCCAGCGAGGCTCAAGCCCGCACCCGGGGGCCCGTGACGGAGTCTGCTCTGGCCAGCGCGAGGCTCGTGCCCCTTGCCCCCGACTCTGCACACCCACAGGGAAGGATGGAGACGGTCCCCCGCCCAGCCTGCACCCAACAACACCTCCATGGCCTCAGGCTCTAAGTTTCACTTGCCCAAAAACGTCCCCCCTCCCGGGAGCCACACGCCCCTCCCCGAGCGCTTTCCCCGCAATGACGGAGCCGACTCAGTGCCCTGGAACCCTGTCAGTATCTCTTCCGCCAGGACTGCAGGTACAGAAACAAGGGCAGCAGCGTGTTCCTCTGCTGCAGGAGCGGGTGGAAGATGTCGAAATCCACTTTCTGGATTTTCTTTAGATAGTCCTCAAGAGCCACCTGGGGAAAGAGAGGGACGGGGGCTGTTGCTGGTGACGTCCAAGGCAGGGCTGGCGAAACTGCTATCAGGCTAGCGAACCTGCGCCTCCCAAGCCAGAGACCCCTCCCTCTTAACCCGTGGGCACCCAGAGACCCCTCCCTCTTAACCCGTGGGCACCCAGAGACCCCTCCCTCTTAACCCGTGGGCACCCCAGAGACCCCTCCCTCTTAACCTGTGGGCACCCAGAGACCCCTCCCTCTTAACCCGTGGGCACCCAGAGACCCCTCCCTCTTAACCCGTGGGCACCCAGAGACCCCTCCCTCTTAACCCGTGGGCACCCAGAGACCCCTCCCTCTTAACCCGTGGGCACAGCGCCCCCTAGAGGTGCACGGCACAGTCTGCAGGCACTGCACCGGGAGATTCCAGAACCACGGGCGTGGTCTCACGTGCCCAGCAGGGTTTCCCCCCACCTGCTAATAAACGCTGCCTACACAGCACCACGACCTACTCTGAAGCCCTCTATAAGCACGAGACAGCTGCCCGAGTGTGCACAGCTGCCTGGCGTTAGCAGAAGACCTGGGGACTGCCCAGAAGTCTGAGGGAAAGGAAAAATGAAGACAGCCGTCCACACAACAAAGGGGCCAGCGAGATGGTACGTGCGCAGGGAGCTTGCTTTGCACACAGCTGGGTGGGACCCCTCGGGCCTCCAGAGGGTCCCCACAGGCCCCACCAGGAGTGATTCCCGAGCGCGGAGCCAGGCAGGAGAGTCCTGAGCACTGCCAGGGATGATGCAGTGAAATGTATATACTAGGTGATCAGAGAACAGAGCAGACGAGGCTGAGAGTCGGGTTTGAGCCTAGAATACTGAGGAAATGATACTTTTGTTTACAACGCTTTGAACAAAACTGCGCAAATGCTCTTTCAGAGGGCATCAAGGGGCTAGAGTGACAGCACAGAGCACAGGGCGTTTGCCTTGCACGCGGCCAACCCAGATTCAATCCCCAGCATCCCATATGGTGCCCCGAGTCCCGCCAGGAGTAATTCCTGAGTGCACGAGCCAGGAGTAACCCCTGTGCATCGCCGGGTGTGACCCAAAAAGCAAAATAAATAAATAAATACATGGGCATCAAGCCTAGGACTAGAAAGACAGTATACGGCAGGGAGGGAGCCATCCCAGAAGGCTGCTAACCCAAGTTCCATCTCCGATACCCCAGAGGGGCCCCCAGACCCAGCCCGGAGTGCAGAGCCAGAAGTCAGCCCTGAGCGCCACCAGTGAGAAGGCAAGAAGGATGGAAGGTGGAGGGAGGAAGGAAACGAGGCAGGGACGCAGCCTCAGGCAGAGAGGTCACTGCCTGGAAGGGCCGCGTGGCTGGGGTCTGTTTCAAGCTCGCTAAGTGATTGTAAGAGTCTTTCAGAGCCAGAACAAATGAAAACCCTTTAGGTCCACGGAGGTGAGGGTGAGCTAGGGGGCCGGCCCACCAGCAAGCCGACTGTGGAGATGCTGGCTCCTCCCCGCTCACAGGTGATCCCTTAGCCAGGGAAGCCCAGGTGAAGGAAGGCTCCCCTGGAAAGCACAGGAGGGAGGGAGGGAGGGAGGGAAGAGTCTCGTTTCCTCTGCACCTTGCGTGCAAGAACATACTCGCGGCCTGGGATTGAGCCGAGTGGCCCAGCCAGCGCCCTGCACACACCAGGACCCAGTTTCGATCCCTGCCACGGAGGTAAATATACAAGCCATGGCTTGTAAACCCCTGGAGAGACGACCATCAGCCCATCCGCAGGAGGTGAACACCTGGATCTGAGGCCTGAGACAGTTTTAGGATGAAGATGCGTGTGGCTTGCAGAAACATGGGAGTTTCCGCTTCCCCTGAGCTTCTATCGAGGCAATGAAGAACCTGCCCAGACGCACCGGGAGTGGCATCGGCGATGCCTGGTAAGCACGGCTTGTGCAGAGGGAAGAACCGGGTCCAGGGCTGGCGGCACCATCGTGAGGCCCGAACCCAGAGCCCAGCTTGGCAGCCCCGCCCGGAGCTCATGAGGGACACAGACTTTCCGGGGTCCCGCCCAATGCCATGGAGCCCCGACAGCACCCAGGGGCAACCCCCTTGCCCCCATCCCCCGTCCCGTGACTGTGCTGCCTTGAGGTGAGGGTCGGTGGGGGAGGGACTCCTCCCAGCCCAAGGTGGCACACCGGGTTGCAGGGCCGCCAGCTGGCTACAGGGGGCACCAGTTGCCTTGTGCTGGGCCCTTTGCTGGTGGACAGGGCAGAGGGCAGGCCTGGGAAGCAGGGAGGGCCCCCCGTCCCCTCCCCCACCCCAGGGCTAACCCTGCGCCCCTCCTCACCGTCTGAAGAAAGGCAGGAAACGCCGGTGCAGGAACGCTCTGGTGGAAGGACCGCGCCTACGGGGGGAAGGAGGAAACGGGCTGGAGGTAGAAATATTTCTGGCAATAAACATGCTTCCTGGGAAAGCCAGCGAGAGCCAACAACGTGGGGGGTGCAACCCCTGGAAAGCAAGGGGGGTGGAGGGGCGGGGCGGGGAGGGGAGAGGGGCTCTGTATTCGCCCGTCCCACTGCCCCCAAGCCCGCCCGCTCGCCACCGCAGCCGCGTCCCGGGAAGGGATGCCACTCACGTGCGAGAGGTGCAGGTGGGCCTGGCTGGCGATATCGAAGATCACGTCTCTCACATTCTGGTCCCGCTTCTTCCGCACAAAATCCTCCTGGGAAGCCCCGTGCTGCGCCGAAGGAGGGTCCGCGTCACACGCGGGGCAGGGGGCCCCCGAGGACGCAGCACAGCCCGGCCCGCAGGAGGCTTCCCCGAGCACCGGGACAGGAGTCCCTTCTGAGACGCCCCAAGGGTCAGCCCCCAAACGGCCACCACAGCAACAGCAGCAACAGGAGAACAGGTCCAAGAGCCGGACGAAGAGGAGAGCGTCAGAACGGCACCCCAAGGCGTAGCATGTTAGCAAGACTTTGGGGGGGCGAACAAAAATCTACCCAGCCACAGACGAGCATGCGGGGCCCGACACGGGGACCACCCCCAGCCCATCCGCAGAAGACACACACCGAGGACACTCAAAAGAACAGACAGAGGGGCTGGAGCCATAGCACAGTGGGTAGGGCATTTGCCTGGCATGCGGCTGACTGGGTTCGATCCCCAGCATCCCATGGGGTCCCCTGAGCACTGCCAGGGGCGATTCCTGAGCGCAGAGCCAGGAGGAATCCCCGAGCATCGCCAGGTGTGACTCAAAAACATAAAAAACAAACAAAAAAGACCCCCCAAGAAAACAAAAGAACAGACAGCAACTAATCTCACAGGGAAGACAAGCTCCCACGAACCACGGGGCCAAAGAAAAGCAGGCGCAGAAGAACGGGCACGGCCATGCCGAGGGGGCGCGGGACTCTCTTATGCCTCACCCTCCCCACCCTGCCCGCCCCCATCCCAGAGCTGACAGGCTGCCACCGGCGGAGAAGCACAGACGGAGAGGCAGCTCGGGCGCCGACCACCCCGCCTCACCAGCGCGCAGATGTCCATAGGAAGCAGCGGCCGCCTCCGGTGGCTATGGTAGGGCGTGGCACGCAGGCAGGTGACGATGCCCTGGGCCTTCCCGATGTGACTGGCCGCGTGGTCAGCGTGGACGTCCTTCACCCCTGGGGAGCAGAGCAGCTGAGGCGGGGCCAGCCTCTTCCACGCGCAGGGCTGGGTGTCTCTGGACTCCCCCCAGAGTGCTCAGGAGACCCAGGGCCACCACAGGCCACACAGCGGGCATGGGGAGAGGACGGCCTGGTGAGCAGCCACCTCTGTGATGCTCCTGGGCCCCCCAGGGTGACACCCAGCAGGGCCGGGATCAGAATTCGGGTGCACCAGCTGGCCCCAAGTATCTCGGGCCCTGGATCTGGGCTCTGTGTTTGAGAGACGGAGTCAGGGGAGCAACCTGGGCAGAGACTCGCCATCGGTCCCGAACCAGTTTCTGTACTTCGACTTTTACACAGGGGATTTCTTTCCTCTGCTTTTATCTAGAACAGAGCCACAGCCTTTCTCTTGAGACCGGGCAAGCCACCTGCCATCACTGAAGAACTCGTGACAGCATTCCCGGGAAGGGGCTGACGTGCTGTTAGGAGTGCCTGGAGGAGATTTTGTTTTGTTTTGCTTCGTTTTTTGGGTCACACCCGGCGGTGCACAGGGGTTCCTCCTGGCTCTGCATTCAGGAATCACTCCTGGTGGTCCTCGGGGGACCATATGGGATGCTGGAAATCGAACCCGGGTCGCCCCATGTTGGCTGCGTGCAAGGCAAACGCCCTCCCCGCTGTGCTATCGCTCCAGCCCCGTGCTTGGAGATTTTATTTTATTTATTTATTTTTTGCTTTTTGGGTCACACCCAGCGATGCTCAGGGGTTACTCCTGGCTCATGCACTCAGGAATTACTCCTGGTGGTGCTCGGGGGACCATACGGGATGCTGGGAATCGAACCCAGGTCGCCCCATGTTGGCTGCGTGCAAGGCAAACGCCCTACCCACTGTACTATCGCTCCAGCCCCGTACCTGGAGATTTTAATCTGCCTACACTCCATGGAAAGATTGAGCTCCCATCTTGTGAAAAGAAAAAAAAAAAGGGAAAAAAAATTTTTTTAATGGCAGGTATAAAGAAAAAGTTTGGCGTCCAGCCGATTCAACTGTCCGAGTATAAGAAGGTCTCTTCTTCGAAAAGTATAAAACCTTACCCAGGATTTCCAGCGTTAAATAAAGAAGTGAGCTCTGGGTGTTTTCCGCGTAACTTTCCAGCTCCTGGATATTCCGGTAGGCTTTGTCATCCAAATTTTTTTCCTACAGCCAAAATGTAAATAAACTTTACCGACCGGCGGATAATTTATGAAGGCGCCATTTCTTTGTCTTCGTGAACTCAATGACAAAGTACAACGATATTTAGGATGACAGCTAAGGCCAACCAAACGAGACTGTCAGAGAGATCTTCACGTGCACATCACACAGGCTTGGAGCTGGAGTCACTGGGACCCTCCAAGCCCTTCATCACCTGGGATGTTGCTTGAGCACTGTAGAGAGAGTCTCTGAGCGTGTGTGTGTGTGTGTGTCACTGGGGGTCGCGCCCAGCAGCCCCAGCCCTTGACATTATCTTTTCAGTCCGAACAACAGCCCTGAAGTTGGGGAATGTAACACTGCTTCCATAGCTGGGGAGGGGCCTGAGTCTCAACCCCTACAGGGTCTCACGAGGAGAACTCAAGCCGAGGCAGCAGGAAAAGGGCTCGAGAGAACAGGAGTGAGACCGGGCCCCACGGTCCCATTCAACAAGGCCCAGTACCGAGGAGTCCGCGCTCCGCTCAGGGGTCAGCCAGGTCTGACTGTGGCAGGCGGGCACACCAGTCCCCTCTGCGGTGTCAGATGCACTTAGACACCACTGCCAAGGTGCCCGCGCCTCTCACCCTTACCCCAATCAGGAGACACTGGCACCAGCAAAGGCCCCAGGGCCAGACACACCTGGGCAAGGGCTGGAAGGGGCATCCGACAGGCTGGAACACAGGCGCAGCCTGTCGGAGGTTTGATCCGACCCCCCACCCCAGCACCACACGGTCCTGAGCACTGCCAAGGGGTAACCCCGCAACACTGCCGGGTGAAGTCTGAAAACCAAACACACAGACGGATCATCTGAACTCGCTTCCGGGTGAATCTAGGGGCAGCCTATTAAGTCTTGCCCCAAAAATGCAGCAAGAATTTGAATGTGGGATTGTTCTCCACCTAGAGAGGTTAACAGGGCACGACACCCACTTCTCTGCTTTAGGACAGGGTCTGGGGCTACGCCCTGGGGCGGCAGCCTGCTCCCTGGCACTTGCCGGACCACTTCTCCTGGCTGTTTCCTGACATGCGAACGCACACACGAAGATGCTTCTTTTCCCCAAGAAGCAGCACAAAGGGTGCAAGCCAGAAAAAAAGGCCAAAGTGTTCACTTACTCTTTCCTCGATGATTTTCATAAGCCACCTTTTCGTCAGTTTATGTCTTTTGATGGCCTGGGAGGGGGGGGAGGGAAGAGTGTTTTAAGTCTTTAGAAAGCACCAGAAACCACTTCCGTAAACCTGCACAGAACAAAGAATCAAACGCAACACCTGGGAAGGGAACATTAGAATAAGACACTGTGAGTCAGGTGGCCAAGGGGAAGGGAACACCCCCCAGCCCACAGTTCAGAGGCCATTTCCAGTACCCAGAAAGAGCTGCAGACAGGACACGGGCTGGGCACGCGGGTGCCCAGGTTCACTCCTTTCCACGGTCCCCAGGGACGGCTGGGAGGGGCCAGACCGCCACCAGGTATAACCCCCTACCTCCTGCATCAAAGCTCATCCTTCCAGAAAATCAGAAGTCCTCGAAGGAAAATGATGGCAGGTTTGCCCCAGCCCCACGTGCAAAACCCCGGAGCCCCCCAGGCCTCCTCCACCTCACCCCGCCTTCAGGTGCTGCCTGCTTTAGTTCTGAGATGTCCGGGAGGGGGTGGGCAGGCATGCAGGCATGCTCATTCTTGCCAGCTCAGGCGTGACCTCACAGCCGGCTGGTATAGGCAGGCAGGCAGTAACCACAGAACCCCCGCAAAGCAGCGGCCTGTATACGGTGTTCTGGGGCGGGGAGGAGGGAGCGATTCTGTGATTCACACCCGCGGTCTCGGGGTTGGGGCTCTCCTGGATCAAGTAGTAGCACCCTGGGAAACCGAAGGCCAGGGGGCCGGAGCGACAGCACCGCGAGGAGGACGGCGTTTGCTGAGCATCTGGCTCCCTGAGCGCCGCTAGGTGATTCCTGAGTGCAGAGCCGGGAGTAACCCCTGAGCACTGCTGGGTGTGATCCAAAAATGGAGAGAAGGGGCTGGAGCAAGAGCACAGGGGGGAGGGCGTTTGCCTTGCACACGGCTGACCAGTTTCGATTCCCAGCATCCCTTATGGTCCCCTGAGCATCACCAGGAGTAAGTCCTGAGTGCACGAGCCAAATTCCTAAGTGCACGAGCCAGGAGTAACCCCTGTGCATCGCCTGGTGTGACCCAAAAAGCTGTGACTGTCACTGTCCTCCCATTGTTCATCGATTTTCTCAAGCGGTCCCAGTAACGTCTCCATCATGAGACTTTGTTGTTACTGTGTTTGGCATATCGAATATGTCATGTCACGGGTAGCTTGCCAAACCCAAAAAGGAAAAAAAAAAAAGAATGTAAAGAAAAACAAAAAAAGGAAAGAGCAAGCCAACAGTGCAAGAAGGTTTGCTGGGCGGCTAAGTTCCAACGGTAACTTGACACACAGAGATGAAGGCACTGCAACGAAGCAGGAAACTGTTGGCAGGAAACAATCTTGCACCTGCAAAATGGGGCAAAATAGGGGCTGCATCCCCCGACCACTGTGTTCCTGCGGAAGGCAACTGGTGGGCTGGTGCGGGGGGAGCGGAATGGGGGGCACAGGCCCAAGGCACCCTCACCGTTGGCCTCCAGCTGCTCTCAAACACTCCGACTGACCATCAGAGCCAGCCCCGGAAGAGCGTGCTCGACACCCCAACTCCGGGGCTCCCCTGAAGTCACTGCCCGAGGGCCCAGGCAAACGTCCCGGTTACCTTCCACAACTCCACGGCCACGGGCTGCGGCGGTGGGCTGCCTCCCCCGTACATGCCTGCCACGGCGTCCTTCCAGAACTGCAGGCGCATCTGCCCAATGGTCTTCTCGGACACCGAATCCTTCACCTGCCCACAGGGGTGACAGACGCTCGTTAGCACAGGCGCAAAGGGCCTCAGCACGAGGCCAGCTTCATTCAGGACACCCGTTTCCCTTTCCCCTGAAGTTCCAGCCCTGGGACACAATGTCAGGTCAGAGTCTTCAGTGAAAGCTGCGAATTAGTGCTCATCCAAAGACGTGAAAGTCTGCATGTAGAAACAGGAGTAAGTGGAGAGAGAGTGCAGAGCTTAAGACTCTGAACACCACAGATGATCCCCTGAGCAATGCCGGGAGGGACCCCAGAGCACAGAGCCAGAAATAGACCCTGAGCACCAACAGGTGTGGCCAAAATCCAAAAACAAATTTGTTTTTACCATTTGAAAATAGGAAGGATTCCCTTAGAAATGAATCACAAGAGAGAGAGACAGAGAAACAGAGAGAGAGAGACAGAAAGACAGAGAGGGAGAGAGAGGGGCAGAGTTAGATGAAAGGGAATCCAAGAGAGAGAGAGAGAGAGCGATCAACCAGTTGCAACATGTGGAACTGATTTGAATCCCGATCTAAAGAGAAGTAACTGGGGAACCCCACACACAAGATGTTCAACACGATGAAGAAATCAGCACTCAGTGTGGAAAGAATGCCGATGTCAAGTCGCACAGATTTTTCCGGACCCCACACAAGGCTGAGTTGTCCGGGGCACCTCGGAGGGGGGTTCTAGTGAGCCCAGCGCCCACCCAAACAGAGCCCCTCGGCAGCTAAAAACCTCCACACCCCACGCTCACTGCCAAGCTCCTGGCCGGACCCCACTGCCTGGGATGAGCCTCGTCCAGAAATTAATCTCTTGCAAGACTCAGGGAGGCGGGTTTTGTGACTGAAATCTCCATCCTTTCATGGAATCTGGATGGGCTACCTCCCCCATCTCCCTGTACTTCCGGACCCCGCATGACCCGCTCCATCAGGAACACGCCGTCTGGGTGGCTGGTGGTGAGGCCCAAACTAAGTCGGCAGCAGGGTTGGGATCTAAGTCTGTCCCCGAGGCCTGGTGTGCGGGGCTGCGTCCACGACTCCCTCCACGGCAAGGTGAACGCTCCTTTCTCCAAGGGCTCTGAAGAACAACAGCGCTACCTTCACGTCCAACCCGCACGCCGGAAAGGCTCGGCTCGGAGACACACACGACCCTACTCGACTAATCAAGACACAGAACTGGCCACAGTTCCGAGATCGGCCTTAGAAAGAGAAACCGCAGATTCCAGGGTGGGTTATTTCCAGAAACAATAAGCTGCTGGCCTGGTTTTATTTTTGGAAGAGAATTGTCATCCCCAGCGCGGCAGCAGGAAGGAGCCGGCGATGAAGAGACCTTCCACACACACCGAACCACCAGTGACGCTTTCCTGACTGTTCGGGGCTAACTAAAGACAGAACCATGACCCACTTCGGGTTGGGGGGGGGGTAGGGGGAACACCCAGCTGTTTTCAAGGATCACTCCAGGCAGTGGGGGCGGGGGCATATGGGGCGCCAGGGATCTAACCGGGTCGGCTGAGAGCAAGGCGAGTGCCATCCCCACACTACTATCACTCCAGCCCCAGCAGCAAATCTTTAAGGGAGTTTAATACCAGCCTGAGCCAGCTCCACATTGAAGGCCCTCAGCGCGACGGCCGAGGCCCTGGCAGGCGCCGGGAGCAGCAGCGAACACAGGTAGCCTTCATAGTCCCGTTTCCTGCAGCAGAGGTGAGAGAGATCTCCCTTCAGAGGTGCCCAGAAAACACACTAGGAACAGAGCACAAAGAAGCGTCAATTTCAGGCCCACACTTGATACCCGTGGGGTCCCAGACGTGATACCCGTGGGGTCCCAGACGTGATACCCGTGGGGTCCCAGACGTGATACCCGTGGGGTCCCAGACGTGATACCCGTGGGGTCCCAGACGTGATACCCGTGGGGTCCCAGACGTGATACCCGTGGGGTCCCAGACGTGATACCCGTGGGGTCCCAGACGTGATACCCGTGGGGTCCCAGACGTGATACCCGTGGGGTCCCAGACGTGATACCCGTGGGGTCCCGGACGTGATACCCCTGGGGTCCCGGACGTGATACCCCTGGGGTCCCGGACGTGATACCCGTGGGGTCCCGGACGTGATACCCGTGGGGTCCCGGACGTGATACCCGTGGGGTCCCGGACGTGATACCCGTGGGGTCCCGGAAGTGATACCCCTGGGGTCCCGGACGTGATACCCCTGGGGTCCCGGACGTGATACCCGTGGGGTCCCGGACGTGATACCCGTGGGGTCCCGGAAGTGATACCCCTGGGGTCCCGGAAGTGATACCCCTGGGGTCCCGGACGTGATACCCCTGGGGTCCCGGACGTGATACCCGTGGGGTCCCGGACGTGATACCCGTGGGGTCCCGGAAGTGATACCCCTGGGGTCCCGGAAGTGATACCCCTGGGGTCCCGGACGTGATACCCGTGGGGTCCCGGACGTGATACCCGTGGGGTCCCGGAAGTGATACCCCTGGGGTCCCGGACGTGATACCCCTGGGGTCCCGGAAGTGATACCCCTGGGGTCCCGGACGTGATACCCCTGGGGTCCCACACGTGATACCCCTGGGGTCCCACACGTGATACCCCTGGGGTCCCACACGTGATACCTCTGGGGTCCCACACGTGATACCCTTGGGGTCCCACACTTTATACATGTGGGGTCTATATACCTACGGAGGTCCCACCTTTATGCCTGTGGGGGTCCCACTCGGGATTTCCCACACTTTATACCTGTTGGGATTCCGACATTTTACACCTGTTGAGTTTCCAAATTTTATACCTGTTCACAATTTAGACATTACAGAAAAATGGAGCTGCCCAGTCCCAGATGCTTTTTGAAACTCTATTCCTTTACCCTGACTTATAGAAAACTGAAACATTTTTGTTTCTGAATCACTTTCCTCTGTAGTAAGAATTCAGATAAGCTACAGAAAAAGGAATGACATTCTGGAGAAAACAGTTCCACTTTGTGTTGGTATGGATTCATGTTTGAGGTGTTTTTGTGAGTTTTTTTTTCATAGGGAATGGTGATACCAGAGCTATCCTCAGTGGTGTCTGGAAGGCCCTGTGTTGTGTTTGAATACAAGTCCCCCCCAAATAACCCCCTCACCCCAGGCAAACGCTCCATCCCTCTGCGCTATCTCTGGGTCCCTGCACTCATGGTTTTAAAATATAGAAACATACAGAAACAGAGAAAAATGGTCTTATGGAAGATAATCACTTTTTGGCAGTTTCATCTCTTACAATTCTTTTTAATTTAAATTTTATTATTATTATTATTTTTTGCTTTTTGGGTCACACCCGGCGATGCTCAGGGGTTACTCCTGGCTCATGCACTCAGGAATTACTCCTGGTGGTGCTCAGGGGACCATATGGGATGCTGGGAATCAAACCCTGGTCGGCTGCGTGCAAGGGAAACACCCTCCCCACCGTGCTATCACTCCAGCCCCCTCATCTCTTACAATTCTCAGGACCCTGGTTTCCACTGTTGCTATCTTGTTTCTTTAAATAGTAAACAAGATGGGGGAAGGAATCGCTCAGTGGTGCTCCTGTGGGGACCATACAGGATGCCAGGGACCAAACCCGTGTTGGAGGCGTGCCAGGCAAACGCCCAGCCCGCTGTGCTATCTCTCAGGCCCCTTAAGGCAATTCCTAAATGTCTGGAAACGTGAGCTAAAATGAAGCTTGGGGAGGGCGAGGGTGAGAGCACACACTGCAGGCTGGGGGCCACTCTGCCCAGTGCCTGGGATGCAAGCAGGGAGCCTCGGGCCTGCAAAACCGGGCTCCTGCGCCGGGCATTCTCTGCGCCTCCTCTACCCCAACCTAACTTGAAACTCTCCAATCAAATACAAAGTATCCCAGCCGCGACCAGATTCAGGGTAACGATTTTCCTGGCGACCTGGGACTGGGTCTTGAAGCCCCTGCTCTGCAGGTAGAAAAGGGGACCCAAGACAAGAGCCTTGGGGCTGGAGCGATAGCACAGCGGGGAGGGCGTTTGCCTTGCACGCGGCCGACCCGGGTTCGATCCCCAGCATCCCATAGGGTCCCCCGAGCACCGCCAGGGGTGATTCCTGAGTGCAGAGCCAGGAGGAACCGCTGTGCGTTGCCGGGTGTGACCCAAAAAGCAAAAAAAACAAAAACAAAAAACAAGAGCCTGGCAGGCAGGTCCCGCCCAGAACGTGCTAGTCTTGATTGCTGCAAATCCGAAAGGGCGGCTGGGACCCAGGACGGGATCCGGCCTCCAGGCTCCACCTTCCCCGGGCTGATGCCCCTGGGCCTCTCGGACCTGCGTTTCCGCAACCGTTAAGTGAGACCCCGCGGCGTGGGCAGCCGTCCCGGGCGTTGCACGAGCTGTCAGTCACTCGCTAGCTGCAGGGGGCCGGACGCGCGGGAAGGAGGCCCCGGGGGCCGCTCGCTGCTGCCGCTGGCACCACCCGCCGTGCAAACGCGTCCCCGGGGAAAGCGGGCGGCGGCGGCGCAGGGGGCTCGCGCCCGCCCCGCCGCAGCCCCGCCGCAGCCCCGGCCCGCGCCGCCCCGCTCACCGCAGCAGCTCCAGGCAGAAGAGCTCGGCGCCCGCCACGCCCGCCCCGTCCGCGCCGCTGGCCGCCGCCACGCTCCGCCCGGAGCCCGCGGGCGCCGGGAGCCGGCGGCGCCACGGACCCAGGCGCAGGGGACCCCATGCCGGGCCCAGCGTGGACGCCGCCATGACAGCGACGTCACGTGCCCTTCGACCCCGCGCCCGGGCACGCGGCCACGCCCCTCCTGGCTCTAGGCCGCGCCCCTCCCCGGTTCATAGCCACGCCTCTTTTCTGGCTCTAGGCCACGCCCCTCCCCGACTCGCGGCCTCTTCTCCCAGCTCTTGGTCGCGCCCCTCGCCGCCTTGTAGCCACGCCCCTCCCTGGCTCGCGGCCCCGCCCCTCCCAGGTTTGGTCACGCCCCTCCCCGCCTCGTAGCCACGCCTCTTTCCTGGATCTAGGCCACGCCCCTCCTCAATTCGCGGCCTCGTCTCCGAGCTCTAGGCCACGCCCCTCCCCGACTCGCGGCCTCTTCTCCCAGCTCTGGGTCACGCCCCTCCCCGCCTCGTAGCCACGCCCCCAACTCGTGGTCTCACCTTCTGGCTCTTGGTCTTGCCCCTCTCCGCCTTGTAACCACGCCCCTCCCTGGCTCGCGGCCCCGCCCCTCCCAGGTTTGGTCACGTCCCTCCCGGCTCTGGGCCACGCCCCTCCCCGCCTCGTAGCCACGCCTCTTTCCTGGCTCTAGGCCACGCCCCTGCCCAACTAGCGGCCTCTTCTCTCAGCTCTGGGTCACGCCCCGCCCCGCCTCGTAGCCACGCCCCTCTCCCCGCGTGTATCCACGCCTCCTCCCGACTGGCAGACCCGCCCCCGACTCGTAGCCGCGCCCCGCCCTGGCTCGCGGCCCCGCCCCTCCCAGGTTTGGTCACGCCCTTCCCCGGTTCATAGCCACGCCTCTTTCCTGGCTCTAGGCCACGCCCCTGCCCAACTCGCGGCCTCTTCGCCCAGCTCTGGGTCACGCCCCGCCCCGCCTCGTAGCCACGCCCCTCCCCGCTTGTATCCACGCCTCCTCCCGACGGGCAGCCCCGCCCCCGGCTCGTAGCCACGCCCCTCCCGGCTCGTAGCCACGCCCTTCCCCGGCTCGCGGTCTCGCCCCGCTGTCCCCGGAGGGCAGAGAAAGGTCTCGCGAGAAGAGGCCGGTGTCGCCGTGGTCCCGGGCGTCCAGGTGGCCGCCGTGCACCCGGGAGGGCCCCGCCCCCGCCCCGCCCAGCTCGGCCTCCTGGCGAGCTCGCCGAGTGCGGGGTTCCTGGCTGCCCCGCCGCCGTGGGGGTGCACGCGCTGGGGTGGGTGCACGTGCCCCGTTAGCCCCGTTAGCGCGGCCGCAGGTGCTCGGGTGCTCGGGTGCTCGGGTGCTCGGGTGCTCAGGTGCTCGGGTGCTCGGGTGCTCAGGTGCTCGGGTGCTCAGGTGCTGCAGGCCGACGGCTTCCTCCTCCCTCTGCTGCCGCGGCTCCGCGACCCACCTGAGCGGGACAGGGCCCTTGCCGGGCCCGGAGTGCGGTCTTCTGGGGTCTCCTGGCCGTGCTCGCGGTGCAGGCCGTGCACCCTGTTGTGCCGGGCACCCCCGAGCCAGGCCCTGCAGCCCAGGTGCAGGTGCAGGTGCAGGTGCAGGTGCAGGTGCTCTGCCGGGGCACCCAGTGGGGCTTTCCCTGGCCACAGTGTGAACCTGCTCGGACTCAGACCAATCTCTCCTCCTGGGCTCCTCTTCTCTGCTGCCCGGGCAGACTTTTCCTTCTGGACAACTTGCCATTCTTCAGAGTCCACTTGCCCAGCCCCCCCCCCCCCCCAAAACAAACAGCCCTCTTGTTTATGCGGACACTTGTCCCCCTTGGCAGCCAGGGACGCTGCTTCCTCTTTCCTTGGGCGAGCAGGTGAGCTGGGAGCCTCTCACTCTCTCCAGGGCAGCCGCTTCCTCGCTGCTCCCAGGTTCTTTCCTGCAGAGGCAGGGAGACCCTTCTGTTCTCCCCTCCCGCTTTCTCAGGACACCAGCTGCCACGTCACCTGGGCAGCCTGGGGAAAAGGTCTGGCTCATTCTGAGTGTGGACAGAGCGAGGACCGGAGGCCTGACCCTCGCTGACGTGTGTCCCTGCAAGTAGCACCCGAAGTCCTCTTGGTCCCTGGCTTTCTAGGTCAGGGGTAGCGCACGTGACTGTCCTTGGCTGTCTTTTCCCTAGGGTTTGTTTTCGTCTGGGCCACACCCTGGGGTGCTCAGGGCTTCCTCCTGGCTCTGCACTCAGGGATCACTCCTGGTCATACGGGGTGCTGGGGCTGGAACCAGGGTGAGGCGCCTGCGAGTCAAACGCCCTCTCTGCTGTCTGTCACTCCGGCCCCTGTCATTTCTCTCTTGGACAGACTAAATCCATCTAAATTCATCAGCTGCTTTGAATGCTGTGTCCCTGGGGTATGGCCTGGCCCTCAACACCCGTTAGGTATTCCTTTAAGCCACATCTGGTCCGTTTAACCAACCCGCCCTGGGTGGACCATGGGTTTCTCCTAATCTTTTGTGATGACAGCCTGTGCTTATATGATTAGCTGTGTACTTGTGATGTGCACAAATGCTTACATCCCCACCACTGGGATTTCTGGACCAAAGGAGATGTAAGATTGTAATTTTGATGTCTTGTGACGCTTACATGCTGATAAATTCCCTTCCTACGGGGCTGGAGCGATAGTACAGCGGGTATGGCATTTGCCTTGCATGCGGCCGACCGGGATTCGATCCCCAGCATCCATATGGTTCCCCAAACACAATCAGAAGTGATTCCTGAGTTCAGAGCCAGGAGTAACCCCTGAGCATCACTGAGTATGACTCAAAAAGTAAAAAAAAAAATCCAAAAATTCCCTTCCTAGGTGTTGTCCCATTTGGTATCCCTACTCCCTCAGACTAAATTTAGCTATCTATTATGAGGTAAGCTGGAGCAATAGCATAGTGGGCCGGGCGTTTGCCTTCAGCTCAGCCAACCTGGGTTCGATTCCTCTGCCCCTCTCAGAGAGCCCGGCAAGCTACCGAGAGTGTTCTGACCGCACGGCAAAGCCTGGCAAGCTACCCGTGACGTATTCTATATGCCAAAAATAGTAACAAGTCTCACAATGGAGACGTTACTGGTGCCAGCTCAAGCAAATCGATGAACAACGGGAGGACAGTGCTATAGTGCTACATTATGACATAAACCAGTTCTGCATAGTCTAGCCAAAAAAGATGTATTGTCAATTTCGTGGTGTTTATTTTCCTTTGGGTAAATAAAATGATAATTCTCTATAGTTTTAATAGGAATGTTTCTTACTAAGAGTGAAAGGGCCAGAGCAATAGTCAGCTAGTAGGGTGTTTGTTTACCTTGCCTGTGGCCAACCCAGGTTCGATTCCCAGCATCCCATATGGTCCACCGAGCACCATCAGGAGTAATTCCTGAGTGCAGAGCCAGGAGTAACCCCTGGGCATCACCAGATTTGGCCAAAAGAGCAAAATTAAAAGAAAAAAAAAGATGAAGACGACATTGATCCTTGACACTGCATATATATGGTCCTTGAGAATAACCAGGAGTGACCCCCGAGCACAGAGCCAGAAATCAGCCCTGAGCACTGAGCCAGGAGTGAGCCCTAAGCACAGAGCCAGGAGTAAGCCCTGAGCACAAAGCCAGGAGTCAGCCCTGAGCACTGCTTACTGTGCCCTGGCCCCTACCTCATAGACACACACACACACATACGCACGTGCACACACACACATGAGTGAAGACAAGCTTCTTGTCCTAGTGATTTTTTTTTTGATTTTTGGGTCACACCCTGCGATGCACAGGGGTTACTCCTGGTTCATGCACTCAGGAATTACCCTTGGTGGTACCCGGGGGACCATATGGGATGCTGGGAATCGAACCCGGGTCGGCTCTGTGCAAGGCAAACGCCCTACCCGCTGTGCTATCACTCCAGCCCCTTTGTCCTAGTGATTTTTGACATCAAGAGTTTGTCTAGGGAATAGGAGAGAGAGACTGACCCATCTTGGCCAGAGAAGCAGGTACCTGCGGGCACTGGGCACTGCCGACCGGGCAGCCTCTGCTGGTAGTTTCAGAACTGCTTTCACACTGGATGCACAGGAAAGCTTTCTCAGAATCAAACGTCACAAAGGCATGGATGCAGCCTTTTTCTTTCCTTTTCTCATGGTCTCTCCATCATTTCTTCAGGAGTCAGCATTTCCCCTTGGCCTTGAGAACTTCCTTCTCTCCGGAGTAAACTAGGAGCGTGCTTCCATTTGCCTCAGCTATTGTCCTGAAACCTCCACCAGCACCCGGTTCTGTCCTGAATGAAACCAGGCTCCCACACCCAGGGCGCCCAGAGCTCCGGCTCTGGCTGTGCCTGGGCTCTTCCCCCTCTGGGAGCTTTCCTGGCTGACCTTGTTTGTTTTCCCTTTTGACTTCTTGTTTTGTTTTTATCACATCTGGCTGTGCCCAGGGCTTCCTCCTGGACTCAGGGTTCACTCCTGGCGGTGGCCAACCCCTTAACTGCTCTACTAACCCCCAGGACGTTTTCCGTTTGACATTTTTTTTCAATCTCCAGATTAATTTTATTGAAGTAAATGGGGAGAGGATGGGGTCACTATCATTTTAATCTTCCTTAATAGCTGGATTGCACTTTCAAATGATTGATCTGCTTCACCAACAGAAAGTCTGATCTCAAATTTTGTTTTTCTGAAAATGGCTAATGACCGCATAGCAGAACGTCTCACCCTGCTTTGCAGACTCATCCCGAATTTTAAGTGTCAGGATGTTGAAAATTTTATATCCTCTCTTAACTGTTTATCGGATCACTTGGAAGTTAGAAATCATACTTGATGGGGAATAGAAATCAATGAAATGGAAGCATAAGCAAAAGAAAGCTTTGCTGGGGTATGGTGCCGCCAGCAGGTCAATCTGTACCTGTGAGGCGAGTGCATCAGTAGCCTGATGGCTCCTTCAGGCTTTAGATACCCCCAAATTGCTGCTGTGCCTTTGGACAGACCCCAAAATCTTGGGGGCAAAGTTTACCAAGAAAGTAAACGGCCAAAAGTTAGGTATGTGGGAGACACACCCACAACCCACCTCCGGTTCAACTATATAAT